TGCACGTGCACCTGCGTGCACCCCCTACATCACCAATGACTGTTCACCAGGGCACCCTTGGGGAAAACCAGGAGTAATGGCCACAAACTCCTGGAAGACTGTTTCAAGCTTAACACTAGGAAAAACTTCTTCACAGTTAGGGTGTCCAGACTGGAATAAATTCCCTCCAGAGGACATACAACCACCCACCCGGGAAATCTCACCATCCACCATAAGACTGGGAAATCACTCAGCAGAACAGAAGTCCTAGATTTCAGGAAGACAGATTTTGACAAACTCAAAAGGCTAGCTGGAGAGGCCCTCTGAGACCAGCAACTGGATGATTTGGAAGTTCAGGAACGGTGATGCTTCCTTAAGGAGGGAATTCTCACAGCTCATAAAACAGGCCATCCCCACATGGACAAAAAGTGGGAAAGGAGCCAAAAGACCCGCTTGGCTCAACAGGGATATTAGGGAGCTATTGAAAAAGAAAGAAGAAGCATATAAGCAATGGAAGAACGGATCAGCAACCAAGGAGAAATTCACTTGCATCACCAGAGCCTGCAGATACGAGACACAGAAAGTTAAGGCAGGCATAGAAATCAAGCTGGCAACGAGCATAAAAGACAACAAAAAGTCCTTCTACAGATACATAGGGAGCAAGAAAAAATCAGGATGCTCAGGGGCAGCCCACAGTTGATGCCCACGAAAAGGCAGAACTCCTAAATACATACTTCACATTGGTATTCCTGAAATTAAACAGGACCTGTTCTCCTGACCAGAGGCCTAGGGAACATGGAGAAGACAACAGATTACATTAAATCAGTCCTGAACAGGTGTGGGATCTCCTACAACATCTGGACTCTTTCAAGTCTTCTGGGTCAGACAACCTGCACCCGAGAGTCCTGAAAGAACTGACTGAGCTTACAGCAGTGCCACTGGCCAAGTTGTTTGAAGAGTCATGGAACTCAGGAGTGGTCCCAGATGATTGGAAGAGGGGCAATGTGGTGCCCATCTTTAAGAAAGGAAAGAGGGATGATCCTGCAAACTACAGACTGGTTAGCTTGCCTTTGGTTCTGGGTAAAATCTTTGAAAAATTTGTTAAAGAGACCATCGATTCCAACCTGGCAACTGATGAGGTGTTAAGAAGCAATGCTGGGAGGTAAATTCAGGCTAGACATAAGAAAGAACTTTTTCTCTGTAAGGGCCACCAGAATCTGGAACACACTCCCAGCAGAGGTGGTGCAGTCACCCTCTTTGGAGGTGTTCAAGATGAGGCAGAAAGGCACTTTTTTGAGCTTGTCTGAGCCCAATAACTTCCTGCCCATGGCAGGGGACTGGACTTGATGATCTTACAGGTCCTATCCGGTTCTATGATTCTATGTTTCTTTTCAAAAGCAGCAACAGTTCTATTAGGAATAGAAGTTCCTAGCTCAACCTCAGTTATCGATCACCTTTCCCTGTATTGGCTGGCTGATAGTTCACTATAGATGTGCAGAGGTTTTTGAATGATTTGATTTCTCCAGCTAGAACTTTATTGAACCAGGTCTGCGATTCTGCAACTAATTACAGGTTTCCCTCACTTTATGCTGTACATGCATTCCTGGAAAACAGCACATAACTCAAATTTGCATAAAGGCTACCCATTTTACAATGTAACAAATAGGGAAATATTAGAAGACCTCAACTGTACTGATTCCCAGACCCATTTCTACCACTTTTCCAAGACAATTTTGGTACTCGCCAACAGCAGACAGTACACACAAGCACAGGGCACCATCATAATGGGGATGGCAACTACAGAAATAAATACATGTTGCAGACAACAGAACCCATTGGCCTGTTTTGACCAGTTTGCGTCCTGTGTCAGGAGCACCCTGTGGAAGGCCAGGAACCTCCTGTTATACAGGCACACAGATGTAGAGGTAGTGTAGGCTGTGTGAAAATGGCGCTGAGCAAACTCCAGACCTACTATCAGAAATCGGTAGTGGAGGATGGAGAGGATGTGGCCGAAGCCACTGGGAAGTGGGTGGTGACAGCAAGGAAGAGACAAATGGAACTGACGACAGCAACAGCAGCAGCAGCGGGTCCTCCAGTGGGAGCTGGAGTGACAGTGACATGGACGACAGGTGAACTGAGTACGTGAGCCTGCAAGCAGGGTGGGAATGAAATGAAGTGGTTGTCTGGTCTAAGAGACCAGAGGTGGTTTGTGTGTGTAGCGTGTGTGGCAGATATTGCAACAGCTTTAGGTGACCAGCGGGCCTTTATACGGGTGTGTGGGCTGCACAGGTGCAGTTTTTGTAATGGGTTAAGGTTTTCTTTGTGGAGTGATACTCAGAGTGTGTGTGTGTGTGTGTATGTGCATATATGTATATTATTTATTTTTTTACCAAAAAAAAAAAAAAAAATCCACACAGGAGACTATATTTTGGTGTCTGTCACTCCCACAGTGCACCGCACAAAGCAGCTGACTGTGGGCTTCCATCACACTGATCGCATAAGAGTGAATTTACCTTGCATATAACAATTTTTTGGTATAAAAAGGGTCATCACATAAGAGCAAATTTGCACATACAGAACCCGCATAAAGTGAGGGAAACCTGTAGGTGCCTTTCTCCTTTCTCCCTGTTAGCCATCCCAGTATTTCACATACCCAGGCAAGTATCAGGTTGGCACAAGTCAGCTCAGTTATTGTCTCCATCTTGAAAAACACTCATCACTGGATTGGGAAGAGTTCTTTGTTGTCTGCAGACCATGTGGCCATTCATGAATATAAATGTAGCTGTTTCCCAACTGCATCGAAAACAGTTCTGAAATTTTCAGGTAAGTGTATTTTCCTTTGTGCCCTTGTCAATTAAAAGGAAGAGATAGTAGAACCATAGGAAGAAAACAATAGCACTGTTTTGCTCTTCTATAATTACTTTCATGGAAAGATCACAAGTGTTTTACAGATTTGCCCTCTGAACATCTCAAGGTTTGTATGTATATAACAGACCCTATTGAATATCTGTGTATAGGCCACTTTCAATTTTCCTACTGTGAATACTGCATGTACACACGTTATAAGATATACAAAAAAGACAACATTCAGTACACATCAAACTAGAAGCTTTGCAGGAGGTAGACCACCTATGCAATTAATTTTCTGTCATATTAGAACCTGTTTTATAGCAACTCAGAGTAGTGTGCTGTGAATTACCTCACCCAGCTCCAGGTTTTTTCCTCAGTAATGCTGAGGGGTAGGAGAAGCAATTTCCTTTCAGTGCTAGGCCTCACCTCCTTGAAGGGACTTTAAATATATATGTATACAGGTAGGATTCAAAATGTAACTACTAGTATTTTTATGAATAAATTATACTACCATTATTGACCAAGTAGCATAACTAAGGTGGGGCAACTGCAACAATAGTCCTAGTTGCCAACTTGGGGAGGGTGGGGCATGGAAAAATAATAGCCACTGTTGCAGTCAGCTGGTAGCACCACTGGCATTGGCATCCAGGAAGGGCCACAGCTACCCTTAGTACTGCTGCTGCACTGAGTGCCAAGCTGTTTTGTTATGCTTGTGCAACTACCAGTGTACCTAAATAACTTCAATTAAAGGTCAGTAACATGAACAAGAGACTGGCTATACATACAGCAGTGAAAATGAAAATATTGTCTGTTGTGCATACCTGATTGATGCCAGAGAGCAAGTCCCTTCCCTGCCCCCACCCCCAGTGGGCCAAGTTAAAACCTGGCTATGCCCACCCCCCACTTCAGGGCCAGGCTATATCCATTTCCTTCTCCATGGGGCAGGCTCCTTTGCTTTGTGGGGGTGCATTGGAGGCAACCTGTCCCCCACCACCCTCCATGTGGCCAGATGGTGCCTGCTGTGCCCACCTGGGTGCCGGATTGGGAACACCAGCTGGATCTGGACTGCAGACAGATGGGCACTGCCAGTCTGGGCTGCCAGGCAAAGAGACTGAGCCCCACAAAAGGGGTTTGTGAAAGTCACCTTTAACCAATGTGTCTTGAACTGTTTCCAGTAAACTGCTCCCTTCTTGTCTTTTAATACTTGTTGCAGTACAAGTAGCTTGTTCTCTTTCAAGTAGCCAGGCCCTCTCTTGCTGACATCGGGGGAGGCTCCTTGTCTTCAGTGCAGGTGAAGCAGGCCTTAAAGCATGATGTGTCTTATGGACATGGGTTTAGTACAGGAGGAAAATTTCTTGCACAGAGGCCTAGTTCTGCAAACCATGCACATGCCTGACTTCAGCCCAGTAAGCCACCTCCCTAAGAGGAATATACTTGGCAAGTTACATCATCAGATTGGAAAGTAGCGCATCTCTTACATTAGATTAGTTTCGTACTGCAATATTGCACGCAGAGTGAAAAGCAGAGCTTTGGTTTGAGGATTTGGGCATGACAAGGCATAGTTGTACCCAGGCTTCATGCCACAGCCATAAAAATGAGGGCGGGGGGTGTGTGTGGAAACTGATTTGACAAAATTATTCAGCGTTCTTGTTGCATCAAGTTTCTGTACCTCTGCTCACAAGCGCTTTGCCAGCTGAAGAGTTCAAGCTACCAACTTCGTGCTAGTTGCAATGTTATCATTAACAAATATAGTTTACTTAAACAGTGAGAACATTGATCTGAAGTATAACTGTAGCTTCATACTTGTCTATTATCTTGATATGTAAAAGATCTGTCTTAAAGATTCACTGCATTTTTGTTTTTCATGTGCTCTGGTATTACATATCTATATGTGATTTTAAAATATGTGAATTTATTGATAAAGGGTGAAGAGGGAAGACATTGTATTCAGAGAACAGGTGGTGGGAGTCTACCTTCACCTGAAGGTAGGTGGGTGCAGAGTTTGGCCTATGCTGCCTGTTTCATCCTAGCCTTCGTTGCAAAAGCTGCTACTAAGGGTCCAGTCATGGTGGTGTGGTGAATACTACCAGTATCTTTCTAGTAGAAATTAAACTGAGATCATCAAATCCGGTTGTCACAAGTCACTAAAAGTCATCAGAAAGCACTGAATGTACATTGTTACTGGTCTGGGATATATTCAGACTAGTATTCTAAAGGTAGGAGATTTCATGTCCATATCAATTCTCTGAGCCATTCAGTCCCAACAGCATATTAATTTTTTTAGGAGGTGAATTTACTTTCCTTCTTTTGTCGCCCTCTTTGGTCTCTGCTTTTGCTGCTTGTAAGTTTTTCAGTGATTTTTATCATCTGAACAGGCCTTTCACTGGGAAAGAATTGGGAATCATTAAATTCACTGAACTCCCGAGGCATTTTTAAGTGCCTTACAATATTTTTTGGTTTAGAGTATATGTGTTTCCTCCCAAAAGGCGGAAGTGTATTAGTAAAAGGCACCAAATGGTTTTGACTCATCAGTGGTGGCAATCTGCCATTCATCGTTGATGCAGATTGCTGAGAGGCTATATTAATGAAAGAAGATTTCTGCAAGTTCTGAAATACGTTTGGGTTTCCATATGTTGCTTGGGGAGATGCTTTCATAAAGTAAGATTTCATTCCTGTAATGGTGTTACTTCTATACAAATTTTGTTGGTCAGCTAATGCTCTTGCAGGTAAAACTGGATAATAAAAGGTTGCCTCTGGTATATTACTCACAAAATTGCAGAGGAGGGAATGCCACATTCTTCCACAAAGTGGGTGTAAAGTCACACGAGGCCACAAACTGGCAAGACTTTGCAAAGCTTCACGGTTCCATGCAGATACAGGGAAATCATCCTCAGTATGGTAAAGCTGAGAGAAATATATACATAGGATGATGTCTGGATACTTGGTCAAGAAGTTGTAGATCTTGCTTATGCAGCAGTGGTCAGCCTCATTACAAGGAGAGTAGTTAGAATAAAGAATGATGCATCCAATGCTATCATATTTATATGCAACTGAGTCTAGGTAACCACCCAGTTCGAATAACATGGATTCTGGATGGATGTTATACTCAATGCAATTTGTAGCATGGCCTTTTTGGACTAACATGCTGGAAGAGTTTCTCAGTTCATAGAATATATTGTGTTTGTTCTGAGGAGTCATTTGCCCATATGGGAATCCAAAGGCCTTGTGAAATTCCACATAAGGAACTCTTGCTTCTTCCCCTGTCCGTATATGATAGGGGCATCTGGCACAGCTATGGCTCAGTGTCTGCCAGTAATAGGGCTTTACGAGTGTCCCCTGTTTTGCCCTATATTCCTGGAACAGTGTTTCCCTTTCTGGGTTCATATTTCTTTGGAAAATGTCACTTGTATTTTCTGTACTTGATTAAGTCTGAAAGAAGAGAAAACGCATAATTCATTTCCCTTGCACTTGCACTGTAAGCATAATATAACTTCCTCCTAGAATAAAATTAACTACTTTTCTAGCTTTTGGCCAGTAGTAAGGTCTAAAAACCTTTGAGGAGGGCAGCTTCAAGTGAAAAGACAAGTGCTTTTGGCAGTGTGAATTTCAAGATTGTCCTTGATTTTGCTGTCCAACTTTATTTGTTTAAAATAGAGAAACTAGAAAATTGCAATTCCAGCTACTTCCCTCAACCCACAAAATATATAATGAAAAGCAATAAAAAGCAAATATATAATAAAAAGGAATATATTTGCATTACACCTGTTATCCCAACTTTTTTGGGTCAATGGGCCAACTGCCCACCCGTAATGTCTTTTTGCAGACCACTCCATATGTGTATCATCAAACATTTAATTGATTGGGTTTGTTGTGGTCTGTTGACTACAGTTTAAGAACTATTGCCCTACACAAACTGAGCACAGTTTGCTAGATGTTTAAAATAAAATAAAAGATATAGTTACCATCATTACAGTTCCAGACCAGGACAGCAGTAAATACGTAATTATATCTAGTCCATGACACCAGCCTTCTTGAGTTCATGTGTTGATGCCCATTTTAGTCTAGTAAATATTACAAACTTTGTTTTCAAGATGGCTTGTTCAGTAGAGGAGAGAGAAATATTTTTTCCCTGGTTCTGCTGAACTAACTTAGGTTTGCCCAGTTCGCTTCAGTTTGCTTTTATAATACGATTACTGAGGCATGGCAACCCCGTTGCACAGTTATGGTAAGGACTTGATAGGCAACCTCACTGTAATGTTTGTACACGTCAACTGCTAGGATACGCAGATGCAAGCAGGATTTATTTTTCATTTGTCTGTATTTCAAACAGTCGGTTGGGTGTTGTTCTGTACTCTGTGCCTAAATATAATTACGTACGTTATTTTCCTGTTTATTACATTTTGCTGTTTTCTTTACAGATATTCTGATACAAGATTTTGTTGACACTTTTGCATATGTCTGTAAACTAGAATATTCATTTGTTCAGGTCAGTCATTATGTTGATGCCAGGGATTTCACATTATACTGTGTTCCTACAAATCTTCTTTGCTCTGCTCCTCCTTTTGTTTTCTTTTCCTTCTTCTGTCTTTATTCAAGCTTCCATGTGTGAACACCTTCCAAATTCAGGCTCTTATCCTCTTTTTCATTCACATTGCTCCTAAAGAATCACTTCCTGAGGTCCATCTTGTCATTTAAAAAAAAGGCTACCCTTTTGGTGTTTGGCTGTCATTTGTCTCATTGTCATTTCCTCCGGCAGGGACTGCATGTATGTGTGCTGTTGCCAGTGATGAGCATATTAGTGTTTATATTATTTAATCACGAAATAGAATGTGTTTGCAGACATAAGAATTTTCAAATACTTGGCTAAGCATGTTTTAATGAGTTTATTGTCACATGTCCAGTTTGCTGATACAAGAAAAATGGAGAGTAAAAAAGAAAAAAGAAAAGAGGAAATGCATTGGTTTGTGTATCTTCTTTTTACCTTTTGTGGCTAGACAGAGTGACCACATGATGGCAGTGTAACACATAAGTGGGTACTGCATTTTATACTTACTGTCTAATAAAATTCATTTGATCTGTGTCCCATGAAATTTAAAGAGGTACTACCACAAAGTATCAAGGTCAGCTTCTCCTCTTAAAACTTGCATTTTTGTTGTCTATCTGCTGTATTGTGTTTTTGCTGCATCAGTGACAGCAGATCTTGCAGCCTTTCAGGTAAGTGCTGCTAGGAGCCCAAGAGAAACATATCCAAGATACTGAATTTAATTAGGACTGCATGCACATGACCTGAGAGCATATCTGTTAGTGCTGCGCTAGCCCTCTGCTCCTTTGCCAGTTCTGTACTTGTGAGTCTGCAGAGGTGTAAATTGACAAGGATCCTGCATTTCAGTACTCCAGACTATAGCATTCTCATCAGTTTAAATCTCTTGCCAGCTCAGAACAGAGCAGAATCCAAACAAATCAGTGAAAGCAAACAGCAGAGGCTTCTTTGCTTCTCATTCGTCACGTACACCATTCCTCTAACTGTTAAGAGTCTAACAGAAGATTGTGTATCAGGGGAAAGGATGGCAATAAAAGAAAGTTCAAGAAAAATGGAACAAAATAAAGCATCTACCAGGTTTGGAAAACAAATTGTCTCCTACTTCTTGGTCTGAGTTTTTGTTTCCTTATAATATTTTTGTACAGTCCCTTGCATAAATAAAGGGTTGTTAGACAACAAATTAATGTCTGTAAAGTGAGACCTAAGGATTTCTGTAGGACAGTAATATAGTATTTACATATTATGATTAATTCCGTTCATCCATTATAATCAACAAGCACACTAGTGAGGAGGACAAGAGCCGCCAAAAGTCTTTTGGTTCACTTGGCTGCCTCACTGTTCCAGCGTTCCCTCCTACTTGGTTTCCTTATGGATTTAACCCTCTGAATTCATGGAGAAATTCTCTGTTCCTTAGCAGGGGACAGGAATTTTTGCTGCAACAGTGGGAGGAGTGGGTCTTTAATGCTGGTCTTTTGAAAAAAGATATCTACAAAGTGTCTCTAAAATATCATGGTATACTGTGAGAACACTGAATCAAAGCATTATCTTGATGCACGCATTATTAGACATGTTCCGTAGGAACCCTAATTCATGTTAACAAATCCTGACGTTTAAATCCTAAAACATAATCATGCAT